TTCTACCAATTCGTGATTTAGCGTGACCACCATTCAATTTCATCGATAGGAAATCCATCCTCACACTTAACTTAACTCCCTGGTTTTCAAAAGCTCTCTAACTGATATCAATCCGTGGTCAAACTCGTAAAACTAAATTTAATCCTGACAGACCAACTCTTGAAAATGTTTTTTGATAGAATACTTAAATGAGTAGAAGAAGGCAAAGTTGTGTTCCTAAAAGTGATTCAGCATTATAGCTCGAGGAGCGTACTAATTAAACAACATAAGATAAGAGTTAGAATGATTACTATTTTTACTAAATGACTTCAGTTGGAGAACCATTGTGATGTAAGTTGAAATCAGTCAAACCCTCGCAAATGAGTATTTGAAAATTATTCTACCAATCACTAGTAAACTAATAACAGGATGAAGGTATCAAGAGTTCTAGTGAGAAATCGTTATTAGTAGAGTGTAACAGTCTGGGGGTGAGAAGAATTACTCACCGATGAATGTTTGGCTGGTGAATGTGTTTTAAATCTTGAGTTTTATAGCAGATTAATGTTAGAATAAGGCATTAAGAAGACAAATTTCGCGAGATGATATCATTTCGTAGTTTCTTTACAACCGCTTTACAACTTACATGGTTAACAATAATAAAATAAAGTTCATGACAATTACTCAGTTAAAGTACATACTAATGACCAATCATATTTAATTAGGTCAAGTAGTCCAGGGTAGGCGAAGATTGAAGTCTATTGATTTTTGTACACACAGTTTGGGCTGTATGTGATCAATCCAAAGTGCTTCCATCACCTTCAATAACCTTGAATTAGAGTTATGTGAAATAATTGTAAAACAGTCATTAATATTGACTTTGTGACCTGACATTAATAAGTGTTTTGCAATGGATGATGCTGGATTTCTATTCAAATTACTGGCATTGGGATTCTCTATATAATTTAATAGCCATTTTGGAACATGCTCTTTTCGACGACATTGGAACATTCTGTTGGTTCTACCTATATAGGTGTCACCGCAGCTGCAGGTGAACTTGTAGATACAGTTTGAAGTAGAGTCCACAGAATTTCGTCCTTTAATCGTAGGTACAGGGATCGAAAATGTTCGGCAAGTAAGAAAAAGAGATGCGGCGTAGAATGTGCGTTTGATGGCTGACCGGAGTCTTTGAGCTGTCAACTGCATAATCTGATCACCCTTGAATGGTGGGTTAATAAAATAGCTTTCTTTGGTACCGAATGTAAGTTATGGAACCATTGAGAGCCAAGGAGTACTGGACAGCTGTATCCATTCTTGCAACAAGCTACTGAACATATCAGCCCCTGAGACCTGATTCATTCGTAAGCCCATGAATTCCAACTCCTATCAATTCCTAATTTTAGCATGACAGTGGGAAACGAGAAGACAGGGATATCCTGGACCTAGATTTCGCGGATGATTTATAATAATAATAATAATAATAATTTTGCTTTATTCCAAAAACAGTATTAATGATACAGCAAGGAATTTTCAGCATTCAGTACAGTATTGCATCTAATTTACTCAAAAACGACAACAACAAACAAAAAAAGTAGATAAACGGAATAATTAATACATAATAATGATAACAAAACGTTTTTATAGGAGCTATGTAGCAATTACAGTAGAGGATAAGGAGAAAAATATAAAATTATAGTAATAATAGTAATAACAACTAAAATAAAAATAGCAAAGTTATAATTAAACGATAGAAAGGGTGACACCATAGAATTACAGAAAGATGAACAATGAAAGGGTCGATTCACTATGCTAATTACATAGTAACTTATATGTTTCACGTCTAACAGTGTCTTCATCACATAAAATACGGGCTAAGTACGGTATTGTAGAATTTTTGTACTTAGTGGTACGAGCATATAATTTCTTATATTGACTTCTCGTTCTACCTGATGAGATACAAGGGGATAATTGTGAATAAAGAGGGTGCAGAGGGTCTGACAGTACGGCCTTTGCCCAATTTTTACAGGAATTTACGTGTCTCTCGACTATGGTATTGGCGAGATCACGCAGTGGCAAACCACAAGCCCTACTCACAGCATTTAATACCCTTCGTAAAACGACATAGTCTTTTTTAAGAAGCCCAGGAAAGATTAATGGAGAACAATAAAGTAAAATTGGTAAAATACAGGAGTTTAAAAATCGCAGAACTAAAGGTTGGCTGATACCTTGTTGTCTTAACTTTTTAATGTAGAAGGTAAGACGAAACATTTTCTTAGAGACCAATAAAATGTGAGATGACCATGAAAGGTCCGAGGAAAGAACTAATCCAAGGTATTTAATGCTTCATTTGGTTTCAATTTCTGTACCATCTATGCTACAGGCATCATGGGAACTAACTAGTTCATGTATGTCACGTCGATGGTTGAAGGTAAAGTTAACTGCCTGACATTTGGAAGGATTTAACATAAGACCATTTGACTTAGACCACATGCTGATGTCCAACAAAAAGCTATTAAGTTTGGAGCAGTCAGACTCAGAAGTGATAGGCAGTGATACAGTCAGATCATCAGCATATTTGACAACATTGGTTTCGTTTAAATGTGGCAGGTCATGTAAGAAGAAAGAAAAAAGAAAGGGAGAGAGGACGGCACCTTGAGGAACACCGGCTTTTGTTTGATGTCACACAAAACCCAAGACTTACAAGCGAAAACCGACAAACTGGTCGAAGAAGCAGCAAAGACACGACTCCAGGTGAACATAGACAAGACAGAGGTTATGAAAATAACCAACCAACTACAAAAGCAGCAGCGACATCCACTGCCAATCACCATCAACGGGAGGGATTTCAAAGAGGTTACTTCATTCACTTATCTAGCGAGCATTGTCTCAACTACAGGAGGAACGGACGAGGATGTCAAATCGAGCGAGAATCGGGAAGGCGAGAAACACATTCATCAACCTGAAACCAATCTGGAAATCTTCGTCACTCAGCCTGCATCAACAACAAAATTCGGATTTTTAATACGAACGTCAAGTCAGTCAGTTCTTCTATACGGATCAGAAACTTGGCCAGCGGGTCACCAAGAATATTTTCAACAGGTTGCAGACCTTTATCAACAACTGTCTTCACTCTGTACTGAAGATCAGATGGCCGGAAAGAATCACAAACAAGAAACTATGGGAACAAACAAAACAAGAACCAATTGCTCAACAAATATGCAGGAGAAAGTGGAGATGGATTGGACACTCGCTGAGGAGGCCTCTGGGTGACATCGCGCATCAGGCCAGTGCTCGAGTGGAATCCGAAAGGGAAGCGGCGAGTGGGACGTCAGTGCAAGGGTGACATGGAGGAGATCGTGTGAAGAGGAGTCGAAACAGTATGGACTAACATGGATGCAGGTGAAAAGTACAGCAGAAGACAGAAGCAAGTGGAGACGTGCAGTTGAAGCCCTATTTTCCACTAGGAACCCAAGGGAACAATAATAATAATACTTACCAATGCCATCAGCGAGTATTTGTCCTCATGGACTGCTCATCATGACTCTCATCACTAGAATCTGAGGTAAATTCATCCTGTGCCCAGTCACTAGAGAGAATTACATTACTTTCAAGAGCTTCTTCGTAGGGATTTGATTTAATCAAGTTTGATCACAGATTGATGCCAGTTAGAGAATCATTAAAAACCAGTCCTGAAGTACTGAACAGAACTTAGAATTCATGGGACATGAAATACAGCGGAAGAATAGATATTTTAAACTTCATATCTCCTTATCTGATATTATACTTATGTTAGATTTTGTTCCTCAGTATTCCGAGTGAAAAATAGGGCTTCAAGCTTGAGCTCTGAAGTTTAAGTTATGGTACAGTTGTTTTTTTCATGGAGTGGGTTTCCTAGCCTCAAGCTTAATCCTACCTCATTAGTAACATACTACCGGCCAAGTGAGGTTTAGTTGTGTGTCAATTGGGGATTAGTTCCTTTGGAAGAGATGTGATCTGAAGGAGTGGTTGTATACCACTTATATGAACGAATATTGGTAGCTAGCCAATCAGGTAGATGTGATACCAACATCTAACAGCTTTTTCTCCTGTTCGAGGTTGTGCTCATCAGCGATGTACCTCGTTTGATGGAGCTCATGTAGCCTAATCATTTGAAACCACCAGACTTCTGGTGAGTGACTTGGGTGAGCCGGTGATACCATAAGCCAAGTTCGCAATTTACACGGACCAAAGTGATTCTTCCGCCATAGTTTCCTTTGGAAACTGTGATTATTCAGATGACAATGCAAGTGATCTGCTTGATACCATAAATGATAATCAAGGAAGCGAGAGTAAAAGTGCGAATGTCCGACTGACTGACTGACTGGTTGGTTTCACCACAGAACTTTGCACTGATCTGCAGCAGTTCAAGTCACCACACTCCATGTAGCACACAAAGCAAGAGAAGAGAGTAAAAAGAAACGCAAAATAGAGACAGTAAACAGAGATATGTGGCAAAAGGAATAGTAATATCGAAGAACAATATAGTTTTATTCGATATCATAAGTCACAAGGAGTGGATGCATCCGCACCAGCCACTGAGAACGATTTTGAACCAGCCAAATCAAAAGTTGTCTCCAGTCTTCTTTGGTTTATACTATCCCGAGGATCCCAACCAGTCAGCAAGTTTTCAACTCCCTACGTGGCTTAAACTAATTGTTGTGGATTTCATTGACTGAGGAAGCCATGTTTTGCTTTGAATGTATATACTACTCAACTCAATCAGTAGTATATACTTTTAAGTGTGAACCTGGAGCATGTGTGGCATGGTTGGCGAGCATTCTACCACCGAACAAACGACATATCTTCACTTGATATTCAGTTTCTTTCTTTCAGCCTTAAGAATAATGCTGACACAATTTTCAAAAGATAGTCGCAATCAGTTTTACTATTATTTTTTCTGAGATTAAAAGTAGTATAGTGTTTCGACAGAAAATAATTCCTCAAATGTTTCTTTTTCTTTTTCTTAACTACTTTTTTAGCATTCCATGAAAGAAATCAAGCAGAGCAAACGAAAGACTTACTATCAGGTTAGAAAATTAATTATCACTGACAACTTTTATATGCATTGAATTTTTTCATTAGGTGTATAATGCAACTATTATTATTATTGTTATTGTTGTTATATATGTGTATACACTTTCTGAGTGTGAGTTATGCTAGCAAACCCTTCAGCTGGATTCAGACCAGTTTATGAGATGATTGTATTGAGAGTAAGTGAAATAGCTTTTATTATGTATGAACCTGCATATGTCGCCATTAAGTTCTCTATTAGTTACAGATGAACAGTTTACTTTCTAGACTTTCGTTGTCCTTGCTATAAGAAGAGAACTTAAGCACTGCCGTAGAGTATAATTTCATCATAGAATAAATTTGTTTGATAAGAAACCACATAGCGATAATGTTTCAGACACAATTCTATTGCTCATAATCATACGAGTATCGAGATGCTCAGATAACTTCCTAACTTTGCTCAGACTAATTCAATGACCTCTTATCCTTTAATTTTATTAGTAGTAGTATTTGCTATATCTCTACCATCGGCGTTGTTTCTTTCGTATTACATGTGTTAGATGCAAATTCGATGGACAAAGATTCATTAATTAACCTCTCTCCACCTATCTATGTCAATTTTTGTAATTACAGCTCTGCCTCTATCCCACTGTATGATATTTTGTTACTGCAAGTATTGCGATTTATGGGTTTTTCATTAAGCTATTCGTCTTCATGGGATTAATCATCCTACAATCAGCTAAATTCGTATTTCCCGATAATTTGATTACCGCCGATCTACTAATCTGACCGCACAGTTATCAAGAGGTATTATATAGATTATATTACTTTGTCAGATTGGATTACTTGCTGCTGCAAGTACAGATGAATTGGTAAATGCAGTTGGTCTTGACATGAGAAGGATTCTTAGCTACTTTTAACACTAAATAAATGTCCACTTACATCATCTCTGAAATTATGTTGCTTATACTTCCTATCTATAACCTGAAGTCAATGTAAAAAGCATGTTCAGATGCTATTTTGTAATATACAATTGACTGAGAAGTTAATTGGTGGGTGGTGACTAGCAGTGGAATCCAGGATGGGCATTTCATCCTATTTGGAACCCATCATCTGGATATACCTGCATTCCGCAGTGATTGATGACGTTCCCACTGAGGCTCAAACCCAAAGCCCACAGTTTCAAACGCCAAAGCGTTATCCACAAGACCACTTGAGCCACAAGAGCCACCTCTTGTGCGACGAGTCCCAAGTAGGACGAAATACGCATCCTAGATTCCACTGCTAGTCACCATCCACCAATTAACTTCTAATTACATACCCAGACATCGTCACAAGAAGCATCTGCACAAGAAGCCGACATGTCAACCTGAAACCGAGTACTTCAGTCCAATCAACTGACGAGAAAATTCAAAATTGAATTAAATATAATTGATTTGTTGGAGGATGTACTCAATTGAAGAGAATCCACGAAATGAAACGAGCTCATATTATCCTGCAAATATGTTTTTTCTTTCTTTATTATATATGTATCGCTTAAAATGTATCTTAAGATATTTCTTTTCAAATATTATAAATATTTATATTCCTTTGAAAGTCTTAAAATCAAAGCTGTAAACTTTGAAAACTCATGTGTCTGTGTTTCAGAGCTATAAAACTCGCTAACCACACACACACACGTGGTGTGTGTTCGACTTCCAAGTGATGCACTCCTAATCCTTGCCTACCTGGTAGTAAGCCCGATAAAGACTAAGGGTTAGGGGGGGCACGAAGCAGGCAAGCCTATCCTGTGAAAAAAACACAATATGACCGTTACTGAAATTAAAAGGCGTCAAGCCTAAGGCCCTATGTTCCAGAACTTGGAAGTAGCATTTCATAGTCTGTTCATAAATTATTCATGAAATTTTTGTTATTGATTTTTGATGTCACCAAAAACTCTGAGACACTATCATGACTTAAAGCATAAAGCATCAATTAACAGTTGTCTTCGCTCAATACTCAAGATCAGATGGCCAGAAAAGATCAGCAACAGAGATCTCTGGGAGCGAACCAACTCAACAGGAACCGACTGTGAAAGAAATAGGCAGGAAGAAATGAAGATGGATTGGCCATCAAGTGACATCACTAGACAAGCCATCGCTCAAGTGGAACCCGAAAAGGAAGCGGCGAGTTGGTCGTCAGTGCAAGGGTGATTCGGAGGAGGTCATGTGAAGAGGAGATGAAAACGTGTGGGCAGACTTGGGGCCAGGTGAAGACTCAAGCAGAGAACCGAACGCAATGGAGACGCACGGCTGAAGCTCTATGTTCCTCTAGGAGTTAAAGGAAACAATAATAATAACTAGCAAGCAATCTGTTTACTATGCAATGTAATCACGACAGCAATAGAAATGGTTTTAAATAAAAACAATAAACTAATTAACATAAAATGGAACAGTTTACACTTTACTCTAAACTTAAAACTTATCAACAGGCGTCTGATGACGTCATTTTATTTTTGATGATTCAAATTTATTACAAAATTGCTAGACAGGTGCTCAAATTGATACGTATTACTGTTATTATGTCTAGTCTTGGATTATTTGTTAGAAGTTTACGCTTATTGTTATCCCTTTATTGCATCAAAGGGATTCTTTTTTCCCTCACGTTCCCAGTGGAACATAGAGCTTCAAGCTAGAGTCATGAAGTTTCTGTAGCAGTGTTTATTTTTGCAGGATGGGGTTGCTGGCTTCATGCCCAACCTTTCCTCTTTACCAGTCTTATCAGTGGCTTAGTGAGGTAAAGGAGTGCGTCGGTGGCCGGGGATCGAACCCCAGACCATATGCATGGTCGGCGAGTGTCCAAACTGCTATGCCACCGACGCACATCCAAAAGACTAAAGTGAGTGAAATAAATAATTTACAGGAAACTTTATTCTCATACAAGTAATTAAGAATATTATTGAACTATTTATTCCAATATAACTGTTATTTTTGCATCCTTGGGTTTTCAGCAGTACATCACTAATGTACTGTGTTCTCTGATATCATTTTCAAATGTCCTCTTCCTCCCTCCCCCTCAACTGCCTTTTAACTTTCATTTTCTTCTACTCCTCATGTGACCTCCTCTATATCACACTCCCATGCGTGAGCAATCGGTCACATCCCATATGGGTTTCACTCCAGGATCTGTCTAGTGTGTTGTATCACTTGAATGTCTCCTCAAGTCTGTGAATCATACAGAAGCACTGACAGATTTTATTATTTGTGTTAGAAATTCACTCTTTTGCTTGTACATATTGCTGATCTTAGAAGTCACCATCTTCTCCAGTGTTCCCAGCTATAACTTTACTTCAAATTAGAGAAATGTTAAAAGTCAGGGAGTAACAGACAGCTGTTTCATCGTGGCTCGGGACTGCTCAGGAGTATATGCCAACCGGAGTTCAAACCCAGGAGCATCCGGTTACAATTCAAGCCGCTTGACCATTCAGCCATTGAAACTCGATTCAATCACCACAACCACCAACCATATATGAAGACATCAAGTTCACAAGAGAAGAAGAATTAGATAACAAAATCCCATTTTTAGATATCTTAATCAGGAGAACCAACACAGGAAATTTAGAAACACAAGTATATAGAAAATCAACGCACACAAAGCAAACACTTAACTATACTACCAATAATCCAATTACCCCCAAACGAAACTGTGTGCAGACATTGTTTAAAAGAGTTCAAACACATTCTAGCACTCCAGAGTTGAAAGGAATGGAAGAAAAATACCTACAAATGGTCTTCAAAAAGAATGGTTATCCACAAAATTTCATCAAAAAGTGTTTAATGTCGAATCAAAACACCAACAAGAAACCATCATCAAAGACCACAAGAAAATTCATCCTACCATACATGAAAAATATCTCTGAAATAACAGCTAGAATACTGAAACCGTTTGATATAGATATAGCACACAAGCCAGTAAATTGCCTAATTTAATATTATGCAAACCAAAAGATCCAACAGAAAAAGGGGATAAAATTAATACCATTTACAAAATAAATTGTATGGACTGCAATAGGCATTACATCGGCCAAAGTGGGCGTCCCCTTCGAATTAGAATCCAAGAACACAAATCAGCGATGAAAAGACATGATATATATTCTTTAGTATCAATGCATATAGACAATTATGGACATGAATTTGATTGGGATAATGTCGAAATCTTAGACAGAGGAAACACCAAAAGTGCCACCGAATTCCTAGAAGCCTGGTACTCAAACGAAAATGCAATTAACAAACACGTTAATATAGACGAAATATACCAACTAATAAAAAGTAAATCATGTGATGAGAAAGTTTAAAATCCAAGTCAATAGAAAATGGTCAACACACATGTAAAGATGGTTACCAGGAGACGCAATTATATCACTCATGAAGAAATTAAAATCATTTCACTTTGCGCTAAATATGGCGCTGAAGATGTTGTCCAGAAGGACGACGAAAGCTTCGCAACTAAGCCAACCAGCTCAGAGAACACTATTAATTGCAATCCGATGTCATCAGTGAGTATTTCTCCTCACGCACTAACTGGTGAACTCCAGTGTTCACCATGACCTCTCACTAGAACCCAGGGTAACTTTATCTTGTAACCAGACACTAGCGAGCATCAAAATAATTTTCACGAGTTAATTTGTACAGGAGGTACTAGAATCCAACGCCGATGGTTACGTACTAACGAAGAGCCCCAGACTAGGACGAAACGGCTGTCCAGTAAATCCTAGTTTTTAATAGTTTCCTCATTGATATCCCTATGTGATCACATTTGAAGTACAATAAATCCCACAAAGACAGTCTCGAAAATTGAACTGATGCTCGACAGTGACTGGCTACTGGACGAAACTGACTGAAGTTCTAATGAGAATTCGTGACCATTGGGATTTACCAAATTGGTTGCGAAGATTAATACCTACCGATGACATTTTCTGATAATCGTGGTGAAATTACGAAATGGTAGAAGCTGGAATTCATGGACTGGCCATTAAATC